AAGAAGAAATTTAAAAATACATGGAAACAAATGAAAATGAAACACATTCGCCAAAACTTTTGAGATACAGCAAAAGTGGTCCTAAGAGGGAAGTATATAGCAATACAGGCCTAGCTCGAGAAGCAAGAAAAATCTCAAACTACCTTACACCTAAAGAAGCTAGAAAAAGAATAATAAATGAAGCGTACAGTCAGCAGAAGGAAGGAAATAGTAAAAATTAGAGCAGAAATAGGGGCACCAGGGTGGCTCAGTTGGTTAAGCAGCTAACTCTTGATTTCCGCTCAGGTCATGATCTCAAGGTCCTGGGATTGAGCACTGCTTCAGGCTCCATGCTCAGCGGGGAGTCTACTTGAGGATTCCCTCACTCCCTCTTCATTTGCCCCTTTCCCCACTCTCTCTCTCTCTCTCTCAAATAAACAAATCCTTTAAAAAAAATACAGCAGAAATAAATAGTATAGAAACTTAAAAAAGATAAAACTAGAAGAGATCAATGAAACCAGTTGCTGGTTCTTTGGAAAAATTAATAAAACTGACAAGGCTCTAGCCAGAGTTACAGAAAGAAAAGAGAAAGGACCCAAATAAATAAAATCACAAATGAGAGAGGAGAAATAACACCACCACAGAAATGCAAACAGTTATGAGAGAATATTATGAAAAAGTATATGCCAACAAATAGACAATCTAGAAGAAATGGATAAATTCCTAGAAACATACAAATTACCAAAACTGAAACAGGAGGGAATAGAAAATTTGAACAGACTGATAACCCGCAAAGAAATTGAATCAGTAATCAAAAAACTCTGAACAAACCCAAGTCCGGGACCAGACGGCTTCAGAGGCAAATTCTACCTAGCACTTAAAGGAAGAGTTAATACCTATTCTTCTCAAACTGTTCCCCCCTCCAAAAAAAAAAAAAAAAAAAAAAAAAAAAACAGAAAAGGAAGGAAAACTTCCAAATTCATTTTATGCGGCCAGTATTATTACCCTGATACCAAAACCAGATAAAGACACCACAAAGAGAACTACAGGCCAGTATCTCTGGTGAACCTAGTTGCAAAAATCCTCAACAAAATACTAGCAAACTGAATCCAACAATACATTAAAAAGCCATCACCATGATCAAATGGGATTTATTCCTGGGTTGTGGGGGTGGTTCAATATCTGCAAATCAATCTATGTGATACACCACATTAATAAAAGAAAGGAGAAGAATCATCTGATCGTTTCAATAGATGCAGAAAAAGCATTTGACGAAGTACAACATCCATTCATGATAAAAACCCTCAACAAAGTAGGTTTAGAAGGAACATACTGCAACATAATAAAGGTCATATATAAAAAATGCATAGGTAATGTCACCCTAAATGGGGGAAAATGGAGAGAAAAACTTCTTAGATCTTGCTTCTAGTTATGTGCTGCTTCTCATTAGCACTGTTTGTCATTAATAAATTAATCTTGACATTTATTACTTCCCACTTTAATGGAGACCAATTTCTACTATATAAGTTATGTATCTTATTAACTCTTTTTATCATCCATTTATCTTTTTTTGTTTTTTTTTCTTAACAAACTCCCCAAAGTTTAGTGGCTTAAATAAATAACATTTATTTTGTTCACAAATCTGTTAGGAAAAGTGTGGCCAGGACAGCTTGTTTCTGTTCCCCTAGCTTCAGGTGGGGCAACTGAAAGGTTTGGGGATGGAAGTGTTTGAAGATTTGTTCCATCACTTCTGGTGTTGTTGATGCTCGCTGTTGACTAGGACTATAGTTAAGGCAGGCAGCTGAAACACCTAGACTCTCTTTGTGGCCTGAGCTTCCTCACAAATTGGAGGGCTAAATTCCAAGTAAGCAGCCTGAGATACAGAGCAAGGCAGAAGCTCTATTGCCTCTGTAACCTAGCCTTGGAATACACACAGCATCACATTCACCATATTCTGTTTGTTAGGAGATAAGTCACTAAGATTGGCCCACGGTCTTTTTATTTATTTATTTTTAATAGAATGAATATTTAAAAACCTATGGACACATTTAAAAACCAGCATATTTTTGTATTCCTCCAACATGAAAAATACACTCACCTCCTCCCACAAATCTGTTATCATGGCATTAGGTTCAGGCTTGAATCCAAGATCTTACCATTTTAATCAGGAGCAGTGGGGTTAAGGTGTCTGAATTATAGTCCCTTGAGTTCAAGTCCTCTCAATATGAAGACTTGAGAATTAAAGTGACAGTTCTCTACCACTCAAAATGCAGGATGCGGATAACCTGCTAAGGACTCTCCCATTCAGAAAGAAGATGGGAAGCACGCTAGTCCATAGCAGTTTTGAAATATAGCCTGAAGCATGCTGTCAGTTCTTTAGTTAGGACTTAGTCCTAACCATGGGAATACTTCTCCATGGCTCTTTGCTTTACTCTTTGAGCTCTTGGTTCTGTCCTTTTCATAAGGAATGACCTGTGTTTTTAGCTGTTTTTTCAGCCTGCTTCCTCCCTGTGGGACTTCTAAGACCCAAAGGCCTATTTTCAGCTTGTACTATCTTGGTCTCTTTTAGTCCAAGCTCGCAAACAGTGTTTTTGCTTCTCTAATTCTCTTCACTTTTTTTTTTTTTTTTGAAGATTTTATTTATTTGACAGAGAGATAGAGAGCACAAGTAGGCAGAGAGGCAGGCAGAGGGAGAGGGAGAGGCAGGCTTGGAGCCTGATGTGGGACTCGATCCCAGGACCCTGGGATCTTGACCTGAGCTGAAGACAGCCGCTTAACCGACTGAGCCACCCAGATGCCCCTATAATTCTCTTCACTTTTTGAGTTTTCTGTGAATATTATTGGAGTTCATGCCATTAGAAAAGCCATTCTCCTGGGTCTTTTTGAGATAAGCTTTTCAACTCAGGTTTCCTGTGAACCTCTTATTTGACAATGCCTTTAAAATTCTTATACTCTTAAGATCCTTAAAGAAATTGGAGGCACACCTTAAAACCTTCCGAGGTCTTAATAAAGGGTTTTATAGTCTTGGCTTCATCCATAGACCATGTTTTCCTCGATTTGCTCTTAACCCAGAAGCCATTTATTTTAGCATTATTTGACAATTCAACATGTGGAGAGGCTGTAAATGAGAAACAGATATTTGAACCCAGCAAATCCTGGTTCCTTCATATTGAATAGTGTTTCTTTAGCTTATCTCCCCTATGAGTTTCCTTTCAAGTGGTTTGTTGCATGAGTTCCTTTCCCTCTAGTGTCATTTTCTTCACTTGTCTAGAAACCTTTGCTGTAAGCCTCTTCAAGGGCCATCAGGTTTCCACTAACAGTTTCTTGGAAGCCCTTTTGGTTTTCATTCTTACTCTTCTCTACATCCTTTCAGGTTCCACCTACCTCCTGGTTCAAAGGAGGTTTATTTTTAGTTTGTTTTGTTTTTAATGGCAGCACCCCATTTTTAATATCAGTATCTGTGCCAGTTATTTATTGCTGCATACTCAACCATCTCAAAACCCAGTGGCTCAAAACAGCATTTATCTTGTTCACACATCTTTAGACAAGGCTGAGTAAGGCCAACTCATTTCTTCTTCATTTGGCATCAGCTGGGATGACTGGAAGCTGGGAACTAGAATCATCTAAAACCTTGTTCTTGTTCATGCACATGTTTGGCTGTTGAGGCTGCTTTTTGACTAGGATGTTAGCTGAGGCAGTCTCAGCTGCAGTATCTGCATGAGGACTCACTAGGTGGCCTGGGCTTTCCCACAACAGCTGGATGCTAAGGGTGAGCTTCTGTAGAAAAAGTCAGATGGAGGCTATCTCACATTTTGTAACCTAGCCTTAAAAATCACACAGCAGTTCTGCCATATTCTATTCACTAGAAACCAGTTACTAAGGCCAGCACATATTAAGGGGGGGGGGGGATTGTCATGGGAGAAGTGTCAAAGAATTTATAAAACCACCACATCCACTCATCTTGTCTTACCAATCATATCTAAAAGAAAGAAGTTCTTCCCAATTCAGCATCACTGAAACTCCAGCAAGTTTTTTGGTTGTTTTTGTCTTATTTTGTGGGATGTAACAAAGGATTATAATACTGTTGAATTAAGGGGGTTTTTTGGGGGGTTTTTTTGGTCAAAAATGTATGGATCATCTCACTAAATTTTTTTACTGAGAGATGCGATTTCTTAACCTTGCAAATCATTTCTTCTCAGAATGCAATTCAAATTAGCATAAAACATTTGTAATTCAGAAAAAGGCTTATGGCATTAAAATCAGTCTTTATAGATTCATTAATTAGAGTTTTATTTTCAAAGTCTTATTTTGGTAAGCATTTATTTGCTGAGACCTACATAAGTCAATATGATATTCCTAAAACTTCTTTAAAACTTATGGAGTACCAGGGCACCTGGGTGGCGCAGTCAGTTAAGTGTCTGCCTTTGGCTTGGGTTGTGATCCTGGCATGCTGGGATTGAGCCCCACGCTGGGCTCCCTGCTCAGTGGGGAGTCTGCTTTTCCCTCCCCCTGCTCTTGCACTCTTGCTCTCTTGCTCTCTTTCCCTCTCAAGTAAATAAATAAAATCTTTAAAAAAAATTATGGAGTGTTAAGATGAGGGAAGGGTTAAGAGACTTTCTACTAAGAGATGACTTACAGTTATTTTGTGAAGGAAAGATCTGAAACAATCATAGAAAAATAAAAGTATAAATGTGTGGCAAAGAGAACGATAGCAGAGATCTCCTTTAGTAACTACTAGTGGTTTTAATTTTGTTCTTGATTTTCTGAGTTATTTGAGGTTCCACATTCCAAGACTCTACTTACAATATAGATAACATTTTGTTGAAAATGAATTTATTTTAAAATTTGAGCACCTGGCTGGCTCTGTCAGTAGAGCATGTGACTCTTGATCTTGGGGGTTGTGAGTTTGAGCCCCGTGTTGGGTGTAGAGACTTAAAATCTTTTAAAAAAAAAACTTGGTCATAGTTTTGCATTAGACTATTTTCACTCTACTTCCAAACTGTATTATTTTATTCATGCAGGTTGATGATCTTACAGCAAAACTGGAAACTGCGTCTTCAAAATGTCTATACCTGGATGCAAACAACCAGCTTCTTACCCAGGAGTTAACATCTATGAAGGAAATGCAGAAGAAATATGAAAAACTAGAGAAGAATAAAAAGAAGTTGGAACAAGTAGTAAACCTCAGAAGTCATGTAGAATTCAGTATGGTAGAATACAGTAAAATAGAACACTATAAACGGGAGCTTGAAGAAAGAACAAGATTGGACATAACAGAAAAATTAAAAGAAGCCAATCTGTTTTTCCAGGTTAATTTATTGATCTGTAGTATGCTTTAATCATTTCACTGCAAGTTACATTTTGGTTATATGCATTGTATAGTTTTCCTCTACTTCCTTTATAGCAATTTGGTAAATTTCTGGAAGCATTTGTTCCTTCTCTTTAAAAATTTCAGTTTTCATCGGGGCGCCTGGGTGGCTCAGTCGTTAAGCGTCTGCCTTCGGCTCAGGTCACGATCCCAGGGTCCTGGAATCGAGCCCCGCATCGGGCTCCCTGCTCCGCAGGAAGCCTTCTTCTCCTTCTCCCACTCCCCTTGCTTGTGTTCCCTTTCTCGCTATCTCTCTCTCTGTCAAATAAATAAATAAAATCTTTAAAAAAAAATTTCAGTTTTCATCATTATTCTCACTAAATTGATTTTTCAGAATGATTCACAGTAGAGAATCATTTTATTTTTTAAGATCACTTGGTATAAAACAAGACTATTGACAGGAAAAGAAAAGATGGTGTTTTAAAAATTTTAACCATGGGGTGCCTGGGTGGCTCAGTTGGTTGAGCAGCTCAGGCTTGTGAAATCAAGCCTAGCATGGAGCCTACTTTAAAAAAAAAAAAATTGTACCATACTTGGATTATTTTTTTTAAGATATTTATTTATTTATTTAGAAAGCACGGGTGAGGGGATGCACAGAGGGAGAGAGAGAATCCCAGGCAGACTCCATGCTGAGTATGACACAGGGCTTTATCTCATGACCCTGAGATCACAATTGAGCAGAAACCAAGAGTCAGGCGCTCAACCGGCTAAGCCAGCCAGGCACCCCCGGTACTTGAATTATTCTTAAGTTGTATTGTTCACTTTTTTAAAGTTTTAAATGATTCTATTATTCTCTGAATTACCAGATTGCATGAGTTCTAATATAAGAATGATTGAACTTTATCATTCAGATTTAATTCAGTTGACATTGATGACAAATATTTTACGCTTCAGCTTTTTTTTCACATTTACAATTGCTCTCTGAATCATTGACTCAAAACTAAAGGAAAGAAATATACTATAATTACCCAGGTTATAACTTATTTTAAAAGTATGCTTTTAATTTGCTTTAGACACAAGTAGCATCTCAAGAAAGCTTAGGACAGTTAAGAGAAGCTAATAATGCTTCAATAAGAAATCAAATGGAACTCAGAATTAAAGAACTAGAATTTGAACTATCCAGAATGAAATGTTCTCAAGAAGATTTTAATAAAACAGAATTGGAAAAATACAAGCAACTCTACCTAGAAGAATTAAAAGTTCGAATGTCATTGACAAATGAACTGAACAAGTAAGTTAAAACAGAATCATAGAAAATAGATTTAGCTTGTTAATTTGCCTCTAAAGTGTAATTTTTATGGAGCCAGGTTCATGAGATGAGTAGGAAGTGAAAGCCAATTAGATAGTTTAATTTTGGAAAATGATGTTTGTAAAAGAACTTACCTTTGAAATGTTCGTCCAAGACAGTTTGCATCTCTCCTCCTTTTTTTGGTTTTACATGATTTTATTTTTTTCCCCTTAATATTTTCAGTTAATCTGATCTCCTAGTCTTTAAGCTAATGGTTAGAAGCTTTATAATTTAGACAGCATGTTATTATAAAATTGTTTGTCAGAATTGCCCTAAATAGAAATGAGTTTATTAATATTAGTGAGTTTATTTTTGGAAGAATACATCTGTAACCCAACTGCACATCCTGGCAGCTTGGTAAATTTACTTTTTTGATTGTGATTTTTGTTATTATTACCAAATAGAGGGTGCTTTGAAACAAACTGTTCTTTATAGTTTTTCTACCTTACATAAAAGTATACATGTGAAATACAAAAAGATTCCCCTAGGGGCCGAAAGGCAGTATAATTCCCAAAGTGGCTAAAAAAAGCACCATGGTGGACATGAGGAGGGGCTGGGTGAAAGACAGAAAGGGTAGATTCCACCTCCAGTACCCTGGTAGCTGTGTTATAACCTAATTGGCTCTGGAGCTGTTTTATTTCTTTCTGATCACAACTCTGCCATCTAGCAATTGTTGGTCTAAATTATTCCTCAGTGCCAAATGCTCAATTTCTCTGAGGTAATGAGTGAAATGTGCAAGAGTGGTGAAAGCCAATGCTTGAAAATGTCTTTGAGGGATGGTTTATTTTTATTTTTATTTTAAAGATTTTATGTATTTATTTGACAGAGAGCGAGCGAGTGAGCTCAAGCAGGGGGAGCGGCAGGCAGAGGTTGAGGGAAAAGCAGGGGCTCGATTCCAGGACTCTGGGGTCATGACCTGAGCCGAAGGCAGATGGTTAACTGACTGAGCACCCAGCCCCCTGGGATGGTTTTATATTTTTATATCTCTAAACTGGTTTACTAAATAGAAGTATATGTAATGGCATCCTGGTTTACTAAATATAAGTATGTGTAATGGCATCCTCAAGAATCTTGTTAAGTCCAGCCATTCCAGAAGGCAGCAGGTATTACCTGTTAAGCCATGTGCATCACTAATAGCCATTTCTGTCCCTCCTTAATTTGAATTACTTGTTAGTTAGGAATCCTCTAGAAATATATGTCCTTTAGAGCAATTTTAAACCTATCATTATATATTGTAGGTCTGCTCTGTCACATTTTCAGTGTTAAAACACCGTTTAATGGCACATTCTGTTTACTATTATGGAAACTTTAAAAAAATGCAAGTCACTTAGGAATGATTTGGGGAGAAATGAAATACTAAGCATTGTGTTTTGTAATCTTAACAGGACTAATGAGAAGCTGGCAGAGACCAGTACCAAACTTCTGGTGGAGACACAGCAAAAAAAGTCTTTGATTAATACTATTGCTATGAGCCCTGTCCTAGAATTGCCTTCTGTTAGAAATATGAATAATAGTTCACTGTTCAATAGATATGTTGCTCCGAGAGAAAACCTAGTGATTCCTACCTCAAGCTCACGGCCTACAAAGAATGGCGTTGAGACTTTCTTGACCAAGGTTAGTTATCTTTTTGCCCTTGGGTTTCAGATTTCTGATATAATTTTTGTTTTTAATTTGGTGAAATTCTGAGTTGTTTAACTAACACACACTAAGTAAAAGTCATAATTATATGCGCTAATAAAGAAATGAGACAGAAATTTTACGATTTTTTTTTAGTTCCTGGAGCTCTTACTTTCAAGAGATACCTATTATTAACTTTATTTAGTAAATATAACTAAACTGACATATTTTACTATTTTTAAGATTTTATTTATTTTATTTTATTTTTTTGAAGATTTTATTTATTTATTTGACAGAGGCACAGTGAGAGAGGGAACACAAGCAAGGGCAGTGGGAGAAGGAGAAGCAGACTTCCCTCCAAGCAGGGAGCCCGAAGTGGGGCTTGATCCCAGGACCCTGGGATCATGACCTGAGCCAAAGGCAGCCGCTTAACGACTGAGCCACCCAGGCGCCCCTAAAGATTGTATTATTTTAGAGAGAGAGAGTGCACAAGAGGGAGAGAGAGCATGCGACTTTCAAGCAGATCCCCCCCCCCCCCCCGAGCATGGAACCCTACATAGGGCCCAGTCTCATGACCTGTTTTCTCACATGAGAGTACATTTTTAATTGCTTTCTTACTTATAGCATTTTTTTTTACTTATAACACTTCTATTTCACGTTTTACAAAATGTCTTGAGCAGTTGTAGAGCATTTTCTAAATAGCTAAATCAAGCAAATATTTGATTTTTTTTTTTCCAGAGAGGGAGTGCAAGCAGGGGGTGAGGAGCAGAGGGTAAGCAGGCTCCATGCTCAGTGTGGAGCCCGATGTAGGGCTTAGTCCCACAACCCTGAGATCGTGACCTGAGCCAAAATCAAGATCAGACACTTAACTGTGACTGAGCCACCCAGACGCCCCACAATTTGAATTCTTAAAAAGAAGTTCACATATATCTACCTTGCCATCAGTTGAATGATTGATGACTAAGATGGGAATGATAGGGAGTCTTTAAATAGCAGCTAGTTTCCTTTGTGTCATTGTTATTAAAATATCCATTTCAATGAATGCACATAGGTTTATGGTTTTGATGGTATATTCACGTTCTTATTAATGTAGACAAAAGTAGCATAGGCTTGTGGTAAATGAGGCCTCAATCTTGTTCCTTCATTCGGCATCCTTATTGTCTTGCTCTCTTCCCTTCTAATTTGAGGACTTTCTTTAGTGTTATGCTTGGATGCCTTTAGATTTTTGGTTTGTGATCACATGAAGTTCATATATAACATCCTATGTATATAGCAGTCTATTTTAAGTTGATGGTTACTTAAGTTCAAACACATTTTAAAAACACTACATTTTTACACCCCACCTTGTTTTATTTATTTGATGTCTTAGTTTACATCTTTTTATTTTGTGTATCCCTTAACTAATTACTGTAGATATAATTGATATTACTACTTTTGTCTTTTAACCTTCATACTGGCTTTATAAAAGTGATTGATCTATTACCTCTACTGTATGTTTGCTTTTACCAATAAAACTTTCTTTTTCTTATTTTAAAAGATTTTATTTATTTGAGAGAGAGAGCAGGGGAAGGGTGGAAAAGCAGGCTTCCCACGGAGCAGGGAGCCTGATGTGGGGCTCGATCCCAGGACCCTGGGATCATGACCTGAGCCGAAGGCAGATGCTTAACCGACTGAGCCACCCAGGCGCCCCCCAATAAAACTTTCTTTCATAATTTTTTTACTTCTAGTTATGGCCTTTCCTTTTTTTTTTTTTTTAAGATTTTATTTATTTATTTGACAGAGACAGCCAGAGAGAGAACACAAGCAGGGTAAGTGGGAGAGAGAGAAGCAGGCTTCCTGCTGAGCAGGGAGCCCGATGTGGGGCTCGATCCCAGGACCCTGGGATCATGACCTGAGTGGAAGGCAGACGCTTAATGACTGAGCCACCCAGGCACCCCTCCTTTTTTTTTTATTTTAATTTATTTATGAGAGAGAGAGGGAGCAGAGCAAGCAAGAGAGAACACAAGTGGGAGGGGAGGGCCAGAGGGAAAGGGAGAAGCAGGCTCCCTGAGCAGGGGGCCTAATGTGGGGCTCGATCCTAGGAGGTCCCTTAACCTATCCTCATTTTTAAAATTCTTTTTTTTCTTTTTGGCTTGGAGGATTTCTACTACCCTGTCTTGCAGATCACTGGTCTGTTCTGCAGCTTTCAATCTGCTGTTGATTCCCTCTGGTGTATTTTTCATTTCAGTTATTGTAGTCTTTAGCTCTGATTGGTTCTTCTTTGTATGTTCTCTTTGTTGAAGTTCTCACTGAATCCATCCATTCTCCTCCCAAGTTTGCTGAGCATCTTTATGACCATTACTTTGAACTCTTTATCAGGTAGACTACTTATCTCTGTTTCATTTAGTTATTTTTCTGAAGTGTTGCATTGTTCATTCATTTGGAACATACTCGCCTGTCTCCTCATTTTGGCTGACTTTCTATGTTTGTTTCTGAAGTTGTTCTTTTCAACTTTTTCCCTCTTTAAAGTATGTTGCTTTGAAGAATGAATGTTAGTTATAAAGTCAAGGAAGAAGAAAACATGTCTAAGTGTTGTCTGGTCATTTTTCTTGTTGGAACTGTGGTGGAGTAGGTGGCAGATGACATTGCTCTTCTTTTTCTGAGTTGAGAACACAGGAGTCAGGCAGATGGAGATAAGCTTAGTAACTTTATTAGTAATACATACTAACAAATAGGAGGATATGGTTTAGGTAGGTAGCCACAGCGAGCTTCCCAGTACTTTATCCCAAATTAGGCACTTCCACACACAGTTGTAATGGAAGGAACAAATGTTTGATGCCCATCCCACAAAGATGAGAGCAGACTTGAATTCATGCTACTATGGCAGGCACATCTTTTTAAAGAAGAGATTTGGAACCATGTATGCATTGCTTAGTGCCTTCTCCCAAATTCACCCTTTAGGTAAATCTCCCTTCCTGTCGTGAGGAAGGTAGAGAAAAGTCCTCACATGGAAATGAAGGTTTACCTATAATTTCTGACTTGATTTAAATTCTAATTAAAGTTAATCATGTCTTTTGTACATACCAACTAATGATGAGAGGTTGGACAGAGCATGCTAGATGGTAAAGAGAAATCTGTTGTGCGTTTTAAATTTTGCTATAAATAACCCACAACATAGGTAACTCATTTGTTGATTGATTTGGATAAACAAAGTTTTATTTGAAGGAAATGAATAATTCTTTCAAGGAAGAATTTCCTCAGTTTCAGGTTCTTTGGTTCGACTAAAGATTTTCTCCTTCAAGTTCCTTGTCCTTTGGTTAAAAAAATTTATGCTTATAAATTGCACATGTTGACTGTTACTAAAAGGAGTTAAGATAACTTCTGTTCCTTTCTTTTTGTTCATGACTTTAAAATTTATACTTTAGTTAGAAAGCTATTTTGTGCCTAATGCCTGAACATTATTGAGCCACATGACAAAGTTTTATGTATTCATATTCTCTGAGTTATAGTTAAAAATGCATGCATTGTTCCTGAATATGAGGAAGTAACTGGCATAAAACTCTAGGCTCAGTAAGACCTAAACCACATTCCTGGCTTGCAGCTAGGTGGTTTTTTGACCTCAGGCAAACTGCAATCTCTCTGGGGCCTTTTTGTCTCTTATGTAAAATTAGGGACTTTGACGAAGTGAGTGACTTTTATACCTTTGGAAAAACTTTTTTCCCAAAGAATAGAACTTGAATTTTTTTTTTTTTTTGCATTAAACTGTATTATATAAAACAGAGACAGGTAGAGCTGTTTAGCTAAAGGAGAGATGAGACTACACCTGTAGACTTCCTTGTCCCTCAATCCTGCTTTGTCCCCAGTGGAACGTTAGATTACTATGGGCATAGTTTGAAAACTAACAGTTATGAGAAAATCCTTCTAGTTAATAATTCTTCAAATTAAAATTTGCTGATACATTGGTACATTGTTTTTCTGTGTATAATTTTCTTACCCGCCTATATTTTTGATAAATGGAAAAGTATAAATAAAATTGCAGATGTGTTCTATTTATTAATGGACTTCAAGCTATTTCTACGAAGCACAATTCTTACCTTGAAATAAACAAAGGTCACAGAAGTAAATATTTAGGAAAAGAGCTTTTGGGGAAAAGATAATAACATTACATTGGTAGTTCCTTAAGTCACGTCATATGAAAAAGTAGTTTATATTTTACATAGTATTTGTTAATGGTATTATAAAATTGCTTCAATAAAAGTTTCTCCCATCAAGTGGTATTGAGTTATTAATTTTACAAGGCCTGTCTAGTAATGTTGTCAGATTATTCGTTTTATAAATCCTGAATATAATGTTACTGTCAAAAAGTGTTGTGGTTCCTCAAAAAATTAAAAATAGAAATATGATACAATTCAATACTTCCACTACTGAGTATTTACCCAAAGAAAATGAAAACACTAATTCGAAAAGTTGTATGCACCCCTGTGTTTTTTGAAACATTATTTACAATAACGAGAGTATGGAAGCAACCTCAGTGTCCATCAATAGACGAATGGATAAAGAAGATGTGTTATATGTATATAATGAAATATTACTCAGCTATAAAAAAGAATGGGATCTTGCCATTTGTGACAACATTGGTAGACCCAGTATTTTGCTAAGTGAAATAACTCAGAGAAAGGCAAATACCATATGATTTCACTTATGCATGGAATCTAAAAAACTAAACTACTAATAGCCTAGTTCGACTTAATTTCTCTATCTTCTGGAAGCCTTACCCATAACATTAAATAATCCATTAACACGTGTTTCGTACATTGCAGGTACTATATACTATATCCTCACAATAAAATAAGCTAGAACAAAAATGTTATTAAGAAAAACATAAGAGAAAAGACACTCCAATGCAGTATCAAAAAAAGTCCATGTGTAAGTAGAGTAGACCTGTACCGTTCAAACACACGTTGGTCAAGGATCAACTGTATATTACAAGTATTCCCATCTAGAATGTTCTTCCTTAG